GCTGTCACTTATGTGGGGCCTGGGTTCTGCTTTAGTTTGGTTTCAGTAAAGTGAGGGGCAGAGTGCGAGAGGAAAGCGTAGACGGAGACATTTACAACATGTCAGTCACCATGCCTAATTTAATCGCCCGACACTTCGACAGTTCGACCGCCGATTTCGACTATGCCCACCGTGTGCTACACATCAAGATGCAGCAGGCACGGTGACTTGCGCAGCATCTACCGCACTCTCTCTTCCCCACTCTTCACATGGACCCGGTGTCAAGTCAAAGTCAAGAGGACAGGAGGCGGGGGGAGCGCGGGTGGATGGCACGGTCGAGCCCCAATCTTGGCGTCCCACTCCACACCCCCTGGTCCACACTCTAAATGACCAGGTTTTCGACCAACAAAAACAGCATCAACGACAGCACCCCAAGGGGGGTCAGAACGACAAGGGTGATGACTGGACAACCATGCCCACCATCCGTGTACCCAGCGGGAGCGCATGCGCATTTACCGGCAGGGAACCAGATGCCAGGGAACTGTCAGCGCATAGGAGCCTGCGAGGGCCATGGTTTGCTGGTACTGACATAGCACACGCTTCCAGGTCTTTTAATTTCGTCACCAGTCAGTTTGGCACGAATAGGCCACTGGCACATAGGAAAGGGAAGGGAAAGTGAGACTGATCCAGTTCAGAGCAACGATTAAGCTCCTCGCCATAGACGACTAAATGTGCTCTAAGGTATTGCAATGCATCAGTTCGTCGATGGGTGAGTTGCAAATAAAGCCATAGCTAGTTCCGACCAGAGCGAAACGGATTCGCAAGTGACCGACAAAACCAACGCGTAATGATATGATGAAATTGCAACGGGGACCGGCTGAAACTGAGTCCACATTGCTGGTGATACTAGAGGTGGTGATGATGGTGGGGCAAATGGAGGTCATGCTGATGGGCTCGCTTCCGCTACGTTGCTGGCAATGGTGACGCTCTGAGTTGTGTATAATGAGTTAAATGTGCTGTTGTGGCGGTGGACCCAGAGATGTCCGACAAGTCCGGTATGTGCTCTGAACGTCAGTTTGCAAAATGGGCATGTTAGTTTGCAGCACTGACCCGTGGTATTCGAGATCTGCGCGCCTCCTTCATCGTTTCGAATAGTCGTATATAATGGGTTTCATATATTACGGCTTTAGCTCGTACTGTAGTGTTCCTTGCCTCCCGATCTCGGGTGAGGTCTTCCCAAGTTACAGGATTTATTCGTAGGTGTTTGAGGTAAGTCTCCAGAGTGTCATTTTAAGGACACTATTGTCCCCATAGGACAGTCGCTTGTTCAGGGACTCATCATCCATCCCCACTACCTGGCGGTCCCGACGCAGTTGCATCTGCTTCAGCCTGGCGTGACTAATGAGGATGCCAGTTCAGAAGACGAAGATGCGATCACTGGAACAAGACATTTATTGGCCTGACGTTTCGGATTCTCATTCGAATCCATCATCAGAGACATTCGCAGATGCCAGTTTTCTCGGGAATTCCGTGTTTGGAATCCTGTCTTTCCAAATCAAATGTTATATGCTCTGAAGGCAGTCGAGATGGGAGTTGTTGAGTCTCCTTGCCTGGTCTTCGGAAACCGCCCTGGTCACAGCTCCTACTGGAGCATTGTCAGGATGACAGCCCCGCAT